TTGTTTGCTGGACGCAACGACGTGTGAACGAATGAGAAGCAAAGGCCAGCGGATATTTGGGTTTTCCACATTGAATTCACGCGTGAAGAGATTGAGTTTTGTAGGTGAATGTGAGGCCCACCCAAATATCCTTTTTTTAGAGCCTATAAATACATTTGTTTTTAGGGTTTCGTGTGGCTTTAAAGAAAAATCGCAAGAGCAAAAAGGGTGCGTGTGCAGAGCTTTGGGCTTCGTGCAAAGTTGCGGCGTGCAGAACAAGGGCGTGTGAAGTAAAAAAAAAAAATCAGCGGCTTTCTTTGGCTTCGTGCAAACAGGCTTTTGTGCTTTCGAGAGAGATAATTGTGTGAGAGGTTTGAGAGATTGTGTGAGGGTTTAGATTGAGTGATTGTAAACCATAGTTGTATTCTCTCCCTCTAATAGTAGATCTCCCCCTCCTTGCCCCATGGACGTAGGCAGTTTGCCGAACCACGTAAATCTTGTGTGATTTGTTGTTTGTGGTCATTGTAATAGTTTATTAGGTTCCCTTGACAAGTCAGTCCTAGAACTGATAAGAGGAAGAGCTGATATCCCACTTTGTTGAGATATTCGCTTCAGATTCTTGTTTTCTTGGTGAGACAGGAATTCTTATTGATCTTTCTCTCTTATTGTGCACTAGAAACTCTGTCGAAATTTTCGCCGCGCACAACAAGTGGTATCAGAGCTCGGGCTATGTTTGGGCTATTTGGAGGAGTAGATCGATTTGAAAGCTTGTCTAGGGCTTTGTTTGGTGATAAAGATTGGATCTTTTGATAAAAGACTCTATCTTTTTAGTTTTGGATCTATTCTTCGTTCGTTGGTGCGCTGAGAAAGATGTCGGGGAAAGAAGTGCTTCGGGTGTCGAATGTTGTGCTTCTGGCGCGAAGACCATTCAGAGTTTGAATATCCACTCTATGAAGATAGATGTGGAGAAGTATAATGGCACAAACAACTTTGGATTATGGAGATGCGAGGTTTTGGATGCGCTGAACGCGTAAAATTTAGAGGATACATTGGAGTTAGATGGCAAACCAGATGATATTGAAGAGAATGTTTGGAAGAAGATGAATCGAACGGCGTATGGTGTGATTAGATCTTATGAGAGATTAATTCAAATAAAACACTTCTCAGCTTGCCGTTGACAAGCCTCGAACAAGAGACATTTTGAAACACCAAAACATTAACTTTCCACTAGACGTACTTTTATAAAGTTACTTTTCCAAAGTAACTTTTAAAAAGACATTCCTTACTTTTTTAAAGTAGCTTTATAAAAATAGATGCCACGTCAAAATCTCGACAAATCCGGAGAATCTTCAGAGCCTTATAAATATGTGAAGTTCGTCAGAGTGAAGGGCAGAGGGTTTTAGAAAAGAATAAGAGTGGAAACTTGTAAGCTAAGGGTGTACTTTGTAAAATTAGTGTGCACCTTATAATATATAGTGGAGTATAATAAAGAGGAATTTATCCTACAAATCGGTCGTCTCAAATTGTAAGTTTTTATTTCTTAGTTTTATTCTGCAACTATGGTATCTATGGTATCAGATGCCACGTCAAAATCTCGACAAATCCGGAGAATCTTCAGAGCCTTATAAATATGTGAAGTTCGTCAGAGTGAAGGGCAGAGGGTTTTAGAAAAGAATAAGAGTGGAAACTTGTAAGCTAAGGGTGTACTTTGTAAAATTAGTGTGCACCTTATAATATATAGTGGAGTATAATAAAGAGGAATTTATTCTACAAATCGGTTGTCTCAAATTGTAAGTTTTTATTTCTTAGTTTTATTCTGCAACTATGGTATCTATGGTATCAGAGCCATGTTTAGCTTGATTATGTCTGAGTAAATTAGCCCTTACTATTTATCTTTCTGAGTATTACCTAATAAGGAT